CTATTGAACATAGTGCTGCTGATTTACTTAATCGACGACGTGAAGAACTTATTTATGAATATCAAAAAACAACATCAGATGTTAATGGTATTAATCGTATGAGATCTGAAGAATTAGTGACACAATTTTAAATATTGAAAATGATTGAAATATTGGGGTTTTTTTGTAACATTTCTAAATAAAGCGTCTTGAATCTTTCTGTTTTTTTGATTAAACCCAACGGTTGAGAAAAAACCGTTCGTTCAAAAAAGAAATTTACTATTATGCCTCCTAATATGCGCAGAAAAAGTTTCAAGTAAACACCTTAAAAATCAATATATTTAATATGTAAGGCATTCGTTATTTTTTTTGTATTTGAAAGAATGTTGTGCTCTCTACAGTTTTCGTTCACAAGTGATGAAGAAATTTTTTGAAAAAATTATTTTTAATAGTGAGCTAATAGGTTTTTGTTTCTCCTAAAAGTTCTTTTTGGAACATGCAGAAAATTGTTGAAATCTCTCTTGTTTTATAGAACAATCACTTCTCTACAAAATGTGATATTAAATTAAGCTGTAGCTTTTACTCGAATACTTTTTTAAGAATTATTTTCAATATAAAACAGTTGTCGACTGGTTTACACAATGAATATTTACAAAAAAAAGAAAATGAAAACTGAGATGTGAAAAATTGGAATAATGCACTTAGTAGCGTAGTTTATCATCAATAAACTGATATATAAATAAAGATGCTAACTTTTAACTTCGAATCTCAATGATGAAAATACCAAAATTTTCCATCGAAAGTAATTTTTTAAACTTTTCAAAGATTATTTCATCGCTCTCGAACGGCATTTCTAAGTCCGTATTCGAAAAGAGCACAAAATCATAGATTTTTGATATACCGAAAATACTTTCTGGTGAATCAAAAAAGCACAAATATCTTTCCTAAAAACGTTTCGTTCATTCGTTAAACAAAGAAAGATGAATTTCTTCGAAAACATTGTACATGTATTCATTCATATCGATCCGATTTGGCATTGAAAACATTTAGTTCTAGTTCAATTAATATCTTTTAGAATCTTGTTTATAAAGAATAATATATAAAACTATTTACTATTCATAACAGATCAATGCTGATAGTAAATATATAAAGGGTAACGAATATATGGCGAAGAATATTTGATTGTTTAATATATACTTCAAGTCAGATAAAACATGAATTGAATGCTTAACATTAATCGGTTCACCTGAGGCAGAATTAATATTGAAATAAAAAAAAGCAGCAAGAAATAAATTGATCATCTATTAACCATTCACTAATCAACATGAAAACTTAGTTTCTCATATTTATCTTAGTTTATTGATTGAAAGACAGGAATACATATACATATATTTTTAAAGCATAGCAAACTAAATAGTTCACGAAAGATTTCATACATGATTTACATATAGAATTATGAATATATATATAGTAAGAAGCGCATTACACACAGCTTTTTCTGCGTTTGAAAATCTTCAATACAACGCCTCTTCCTTATCTATAAAACTCTATTTTAATGATTGCAGTCTATTCTATGCTTTTTGTGCTTAATGACTTCCTTGCCAAAACAAAATAAGTTCAGAGAAAAAAAACAAATGCACCTATAAGTACTAAAATGATGATATATTCATTTTCATACATGACTATGAAACAGAAGAAGACATATGATGACAAGTTTGCACTGATTAAAAAATAGTTGACAGACACACATACTAATCATTATGTCATGAAGTAAAAATGACAGCGGAAACTATCAAAGTACAAATGTATGTCTCTTCTCATCAATAATAGACATTCACACTCACAACATTTAACGTTCTATCTAAAATCATAGAAAGAAAAACATATTCTACTTTTTGTGTATCTATATGTTTTACAAAACATGTTAAAAATCAATATGCTTTTATACTTATTTTCTATATTCTATTTTACAAAAATGACAAGTCTTTCAGATAAAAGAAATAAGAATTTATCATATTAAGAACTTAAAAACACACTAAGCATTTTGTTTGTTCAGTTCAAAGCACTATAGACTTATTCGACCATCGAAGCATTAATATCTTATTACTAATTCTATTCGTCGTACATGACTGTTTATGGGATATGATAGACAGAATAATCGGATTCAAGAATATATCTCATGTAAAATCGGAATGAATTCGAATTAAATTACAATACTCATGTTTACAGTAGCTAATGTCAAGCTTTGATGGCTTGTAGTCATAGTTTGAAATCGGTACACTTTAGAATACTTTTGCGATGTTGCTAAAATTAATTAACTATAAGAATAGCAAACTACAGCAATTTTAAGTATTCTATTAAAAAAAAGAACTACTTTAGAAAGATGTTTCTTGAAAAAAAAGCGAAGCCATTTATCATAATCAATACTACTGTTTTTGCTATATTTTTGAAATAAAATCAAGAGTTTTTTTATTTAAAAATCTGATTTTTAAAGTTCTATCTGTAGTATCACAAAATTCTACTAATAGATAAAAAAACAACACAGAAAAATAACAATACATAAGAGTAAAACAAAAAAAAAACGTCTGGTTCAATAAATGTACTCTACCTATGTCAGATGTTCATTAAAACTATGTTGTTCTTATCTTGAAAATTGAATATATTTTAATTAAATGAATATTGATGAAACGAGTTCTACAATCTAATTTTATTAGATTTATTTTAAAAGAATTTTCTATTAATAATATACTGAAAGTAAATTATCACAACAAATTTACATAAAATATACATTTATTATTATTATTATTTTTTTTTTTTTGGTTTCCATTGAAAAACATCTTATGTGTTTTTAAGCGTTCTATTTTGGTAAAAAAAAAAAGAAATATCCAATACGATAAAAAGAAATACTTTACATTCTATTAATAATTGATTAAAGAATAGATTGTATTGTATTATAACTAAGGGTAACTTGTGCGTAAATATGATCAATATAAGAGTTGCGTTTTTACAATATGTAATTCATGTGATGCATTTATTACTTTTCTCATTCGAACTATTTTATTTGCATATGATTATATCACTTTTCATCAGACTACTTGAGTATCAGCTTGAATAACAAATTAATCAACAATACTTTTGCTCTTTTTTTGATATTTGTTAATTAAATATATACATTCAATCAAATGTTATTTATGAAAAAAAGAAAAAAAAAAATTATTTTAGAATTTATCCAATGTATCTTTTAAATAAATGATTTATTAAGATTTTGACTTTTTTTTTTAAACCAAATTGTAACGTTTTTTAATGTTTTCTATAGATTAAATAATTCAATCAAAACTATACTTTCCAGCACATTTAGTGCGTCATTGCATAGACGAATATCAATAATAAGCACAAAGAAAAGACTTAATACGAAGACAATATTCTATATCCTGTTTTTTTTTGCTATTATTAGACAAATATTTCCATTTCCTACTTATGATCTCTTTCTCTTTCATGTTACATGAAAGAAAATATACATCCGGAAAAAAGAAAAAAAAACATGAGAAATTTGTTCGTCTGTTATATAATTAGGTACTTTGTTCTATGTATAATTACTAGTAACCTTAGAAAACATTTTTATTATTTAATAGTTTGTTCATTATTCTAAACAATCGAGTAATCATTTAGAAAGAAAATTAAAAAAAATAGATTTTCTATCTAGAATAATTATGAATAATATTTTAAACAGACGACTATTAATTCAAACTTTCATCTTTCTTTCACAAAACAACACATCAACAACAATTAATAACGTAATCATAAACAGATAGATTATATACAAAACGTTTTCCATGACATTTCCTTCTTTTTATTACACACATACAGATCTTTCAATGAACAATTGAATATAAAATAAAGATGAATGATTCGATAATACTTTTACACATGTAATTATTCATTCTATGAACTGTACTTAAATTATAAAAATTCGAGATACAATCGAAACGTAAGTTAGTTGTATACAATCATATTATAATTTTTCGTTGACATGTTACCGAAGAACGGCGCAAGCTCGAGTAAATTGTTATCTATTTGAAATGTTATTATATATGCATTTTTTTTTCTCTCTTGTTTATTTCTTTCTCTGTATGTCATCGATTCTATGATTCTTTTTAAGTAAATCTTATTAGTCAATTAGCAGAAAAAATTTCCCAATGTTAAAGTGATCTTTTATAATATGTAATTTCATGTAATATCTTATACTCGTTTCTGAACAATTATATTGATAAGTAAATAAAAGAAAATATAGAAGAATGTGTTGTTTGACATACAATCACTCGATTGATTCTTTTCTCGTAAAAAAAGAAAAATGAGCGAATATTCGTGTTAACTCTCATGAGATATATAACATATTAACATATTAACATATATGAAGAATCTTTCTTGTATGTATGTTATTGAATTCTGAAAAAATTTATTAACATGCATTTCTTAGTTTATCAGACTAAAACAAAAATATCGATATTATAATAGATTTTTTTTTAAAATCAATGATGTGTTAAATTTTTAAACAATATTCTAATCTTTATATCTTAAAATATGTTGACAGAAAAGAGAATGCCAGAAAATCGATGTTTTTCTTTTTTTTTTATCAAAGAAACAAGACGGCGTCTTGCACGAATAGAAATAGAGAACGAGTAGGAAAACCTTGTTATCAAAAAAAAAAAAAAATGTTCTTTTTCTCGTGTTTTTTTCTCTCTGTCATTCTGCTAGGCGAGCACACATCAATGTTTGTCCTGGGGGAATATCTTTCTTCAAATTCCGTTTCCTAAAAACAAAAATTTTTTGTTTGAATTTGCATGTTCCCGATACCAATAGGCTTTCGATAATTTCCGCTTTTATCTCATCTCTTTTTTTTTTTTTCTATTTAAAACATTTTCTTAAGATACTGTCGCATCTTATAAGTTAATATTTTGTACAATATATAAAAGTGTCTGTTTTTTATTATCAGACACTTAATTAAGTTTCTATTGATTGACAATAAACAGTCGTTAGCATCGAAGCAAAAAACAACAA